GCCAACGCCAAAGTCGGCACGACACGAACCTGACCTACCCGGGAGGAGTATTTGGCCTTGGGGACAAGCCCAAAGATCCAGAACCCGTTTCCTTTCAGGACCCGCTTCCTTCCTGCCAACGGACCCATAACCCCTCGCGCAATGAACAAATCATGACGGACGTTTTTGTTGCTGCCATGTTCGGCTTTGGGGGGCGATTACCGAGCCTCAGGACTGCAAACAACGATTCAGGATAAAAAGCCAGTCTGGGGGAAGGGGTCGAGACCTCTGGGGGTCGACGTCACGAAACAAAAACATGACGTCGGGGGTCTGGGGAGGTCGGGGGCGTCCAAGAGGGGGGTGAGGATTGCGTGTGGGTACGTGGATCTCATAGCCAGGGCCATGCGATCTCCCAGATTTCATGGGCGCAGATTCCTCGGGCCATGGCGTGGTAACCCCCTCTTCGGCGCACCCGACGGCGGGGCTGCGGCATGCTGAATGCCGCAACCTTCAGGGAATATGCTGACACCCCCGCCGCCCCTGACAAAAACAATACAACGTGCTCGCAGGCCTCACGAACATGACCCAAGACTTTGCCCCACAGGGAACTTCGCACTGTTCCGGGAAAGGGCGTGGGCCCAGGGTTCTCTTTTGGAGGTTTGCCCCCGGAATCGACGATTGTAAAGCCGGCGGGAGTATTTGCGATCAATATCGAGGTCGCCTAATTCGGGCCGGCGGAATTATTTTTGCGGATGTCTCGAGCGAAGCGCTTGTTTTTCAGAATGTTGTTGAGGATGTCTCGAGCGAAACGCTTCCTTTGTGTTATAGAGTGTCCTCTCCTGGGGACCAGAATTCAGAGGATCTCTCAATTGAAATGCTTGTTTTCACGTGCCCAGGTCTTGAGGATGTCTCGAGCGAAACGCTTGGTTTCACGCCTCCAGGTTGCCCACTAGCGCCAGGATTTGTTGAGGAAGTCTCGAGCGAGACGCTTGGTTTCACGCGTCCTCGTCGCCCAGGCGGATGTCTAGCATGAGGATGTGTTGAGGAAGTCTCGATCGAGATGCTTGTTTGCACGTGTCCAGGTTGCCCAGGTGGATGCCTAGCATGAGGATGTGTTGGGAATGTCTCGAGAGATACGCTTGTTTTCACGTGTCCAGGTCGCCCGGGCGGCTGTCTAACATGAAGATGTGTTGAGGATGTCTCGAGCGAGACGCTTGCTTTCACGTGTACAGGTCGCCCATGCGGATGTCTAGAACGAGGATGTATTGAAAACGTCTCGAGCGAAACGCTTGTTTTCACGTGCCCAGGTCACCCAGGCGGACGTTTCACATGAAGATGTGTTGAAGATGTCTCGAGCGAACCACTTGTTTTCACGTGTCCAGTCCGCCCATGCGGATGCCTAGCATGAGAATGTGTTGAGGATGTGTTGAGCGAAACGCTTGTTTTCACGTGTCCAGGTCGCTCAGGCGGATGTCTAGCATGAGGATTTTGACAGGATGTCTCGAGCGAAACGCTCGTCCCCAGCACGTTCCGTAGAGCGTCCCCTTGGCACGTCCTGCGGTGCGTCCCCATGGCTCCGCTGGCACGTCGCTTGGCGCGTCCCTTGAGACGTTCCGCGGCGCGTCCTCCTGGCATGTCCCCCTGTCAATTAGCTCTGGGGCAGCTACTAGTTATGTGCTCAGGCAGCTAGAGCTTAAAGTCCAGATCAGTTCGGTCAGGACTCGGACGCAAAGGAGGACTCGATCCACAACGCCATAGAGCACAATCGCGGCATGGCACATCGCAGTTCAGCACGGCGCAGCACAGCACAGCCCTCGGCACGGTACATCAAGATCGATACACTCAGCATTGCAACCTGGCACGTTCCTTGGCACGTTCCGTGGGGCGTCCCTTGGCGAGTCCCCCTGGCACATCCCGTGGCGCGTCCACTGGCAGCGTCTCCTTGGCACGTCCCGCGGTGCGTCCCCATGGCGCGTCCCTTGGCACGTCGCCTGGCGCGTCCCTTGAGACGTTCCGCAGCGCGTCCTCCTGGCATGTCCCCCTGTCAATTAGTTCTGGGGTGGCCGCGCATGATCCAGACATAGCCGCGAGGTGCATTTTGTATGGTTTTTCGTAAGGGATGGTCGCCCTGCGCTCGGCAGGGAGTATGCTGACACCCCCGACGTCCCCTTCAAAAAGCAATACAAAGTGCCCGCGGGCCAAACAAACTTGATTCCAGACTTTGCTCCAACGTGTACTTTGTTACCTAACAGCGAAGACTGATATGTTTCTAATGGGGTCAAAAGAGAGCATCTGATGACTCCCCAGGGGGGTCTGGGCGGGAGGCGAGGGCCCGGCTAGAGCCGGGCTCGTTTTATGCAAACAATCACACACTTCGTGCTCTTCGACCTCCCGGAACTCCATTCCCGGGCCACATTTTGAATGCCCGGAGCCAACTGTGGGCCTTTCGTGCTCTTCGACTTCCCAGAACTCCATTCCCGGGCCACATTTTGGATGCCCGGAGCCATTTGTAAGCCACTTCGTGCTCTTCGAGTTCCCAGAACTCCATTCCCGGGCCACATTTTGAATGCCCGGAGCCAACTGTAGGCTACTTCGTGGTCTTCGAGTTCCCAGAACTCCATTCTGGGCATGATTTTGAATGCCCGGAGCCAACTGTAGGCCACTTCGTGGTCTTCGAGTTCCCAGAACTTTCCTGGGCAGATTTTGAATGCTGTAGGCCACTTCGTGGTCTTCGAGTTCCCAGAACTCCATTCCTGGGCATGATTTTGAATGCCCGGAGCCAACTGTAGGCCACTTCGTGTTCTTCGAGTTCCCAGAACTCCATTCCCGGGCCACATTTTGAATGCTGAGGCAGGCTGAGGCTGAGGCTGAGGCTGAGGCAGGCTGAGGCTGAGGCCGAGGCTGAAGGCAGACTGAGGCTCAGGCTGAAGCAGGCTGAGGCCTGAGGCAGGCTGAGGCTGAGGCTGAGGCTGAGGCTGAGGCTGAGGCCGAGGCTGAGGCTGAGGCTGAGGCTGAGGCTGAGGCTGAGGCTGAGGCTGAGGCTGAGGCTGAGGCTGAGGCTGAGGCTGAGGGCTGAGGCTGAGGCAGGCTGAGGCCGAGGCTGAAGGCAGACTGAGGCTGAGGCTGAAGCAGGCTGAGGCTGAGGCTGAGGCTGAGGCAGGCTGATGCTGAGGCAGGCTGAGGCTGAGGCTGAGGCTGATGCAGGCTGAGGCTGAGGCAGGCTGAGGCTGAGGCAGGCAGGCTGAGGCTGAGAGGCTGAGGAGGCAGGCTGAGGCTGAGGCCGAGGCTGAAGGCAGACTGAGGCTGAGGCTGAAGCAGGCTGAGGCTGAGGCTGAGGCAGGCTGAGGCTGAGGCTGAGGCAGGCTGAGGCTGAGGCTGTGACTGCGACTGCCGTTGCCACTGCGACTTTCATCGCGAATGCGACTGCGACTGCGAGAACAGCAGAATTCTACAACTGGATTATCATGTGAATCTTAAGGGGAATGCTTCCAGATATGCTCCTACACATCGCTGTTAGGTTGCTTTGCCGGGATAATCTTTTTGTAAGTCAATCTGTCCCCCGGTGCGAAGTTCGAATAGGGCCAGCGAGTTATTTTGCGATAAACAACGAGGTCGAAGAGGGCGGGCTAATTTAAATGTGAGGATGTCCCGAGCGAAACGCTTGTTTTGCAGAATGTTGTTGAGGATGTCTCGAGCGAAACGCTTGTTTTGTGTTCTAGATTCTCCGTCTCCTCGGGACTAGAATTCAGAGGATCTCTTAAGTGAAATGCTTGTTTTCACGTGCCCAGGTCTTGAGGATGGCTCGAGCGAGACGCTTGGTTTTACGCGTCCAGGTTGCCCAGGCAGATGTCTAGCATGAGGATTTGTTGAGGCTGTCTCGAGCGAGACGCTTGTTTGCACGTGTCCAGGTTGCCCAGGCGGATGTTTAGCATGAGGATGTGACGAGAATGTCTTGAGCGAAACGCTTATTTTCACGTGTCCAGGTCGCCCAGGCACAGTACAGCCTTCGGCACGGTACATCGAGATCGATACATTCAGCATTGCAACCTGGCGCTTCCTTTCTCGTCAAGGGACGCGCCAGGTTGCAATGCCCTGTGGCACGTCGCGCGGCGCGTCCCCGTGGCGAGTCCCCCTGGCACGTCGCGCGGCGCGTCCATCCCGCGGCACATCCATTGGCACGTTCCGTAGCGTGTCCCCTTGGCACGTCCCGCGGTGCGTCCCCATGGCGCGTCCCCTGGCACGTCGCCTGGCGCGTCCCTTGGGACGTTCCGCGTCGCGTCCTCCTGGCATGTCCACCTGTCAATTAGCTCTGGGGCAGCTACTAGTTATGTGCTCAGGCAGCTTGAGCTTAAGATCCAGATCAGTTCGGTCAGGACTCGGATGCAAATGAGGACTCGATCCACAACGCTATACAATGTGGGCGCGCATAAAGAAACCATCTACTTTTCGTCCGGGTATCCTGGGTTTCTTTGCTCCGCGCTCCGCGTTGACTTCCCGCGGCCGTTGAAAGAGCTGCTGCGTTCAGGGTGCTCCAGGTTTCCCCTCAGGTGCACCTCGCGCACGGCTTCTCAGGGTTGGGTTTCTTGCGAGGGTTTCTTGCGGCCGCGCCCGCACTGTAGTGCTCAATCGCGGCATGGCACATCGCAACTCAGCACGGCGCAGCACAGCACAGCCCTCGGCACGGTACATCAAGATCGATACATTCAGCATTGCATTTCCCCGTCGCCCAATCAGGTGTTTTTTGAAGCGTTGCCATGCCTTACATTTCTATATTCCTTGCCGGGTTCGTGGGTCGATCATGTTCAGTAAGAGAAAGGCAGCGAGACACAGAGAGAGAGAGCGAGAGAGAGAGAGAGTTCCAGGCTCCCACGAGGACTCCCACGAGGTCTCTTACCAAGACGCATGATAGCACCCGTCCGTAGCCATTTATTTTGGCTTAAGCTTCCACGACTGGACGCAGGTCTTGAAGCAGGCGCGAGCGCCCCTCTGGCCTCTGTAAACCAGCCCCCCGCGCCGACACGATGGGCTCCTGCATGGAGGTCCCCAAGAAGGAGGAACAGGAGTCGTTCGACCCGGCGCGGTACACGGACCCCGCCAGCCTCTTCGACGCGCTCGCGTTCACCGTAGAGGGCCTCCACCCCGTGCGCTTGGTCCGCATGTCGTGGCTGCTGCAGCAGCGCGGCACCGTCCTGAAGAGGCGCCAGGAGCTGCCGGAGGAGGCCTTCGTGTCCGCGGACGAGTTGCGGGCCGTCTGGGAGGCCGGCGGGCGAGGAGGGCAAGACCAGGTGGCGCCGATCATCACCATCTCGTTCTGCTGGGACTCGCGCGAACACCCCGACCCCAAGAGGTTGCAGCTGAATTTGGTGATAGACACTCTAGAGAAGGAGCGCCTCAAGTACTCCACAGCCAGAGGTGATTTCAAGGGGTTCAGCGAGATGGGGATTTTTTGGGACTGGCCCTCGCTACTGCAGGGCGACCCGATCAAGGCCGAGGAGGCGAGGGCCGCCGCCCTGCGGCAGGGCAAGACCGAGAAGGACGCGCAGGAGGCCGCGGACAAGGCCAAGCGGACCCCCGCCGAGAAAGCCGCCTTCAAGCACGGGTTGGAGGAGACAATGGACCTCTGGTACGCCCACCAGGCCACCACTGTGCTCCTGCTCACCCAGCACCCCCGCGAGCGGGTCAGCGCGCGCGAGTGGGGCTGCGACCAGTCCGGCTGGACGACGTACGAGCGCTGCTCCGCGGAGCAGATCAAGCAGGTCAGGCGCTGGGAGGCAAAGTGGACCGCCGTGGCCGACCTGGGGCAGGGGGCGCGGGCGAAGGCGGCCGTGCGGCGGTGGGCCCGGACGAGTTCGACCGGCTCATCGAATACAGGTCCTTCACCAACGGCGCGGACAAGGAGGCGGTGAAGGCGCTCTTCCGCCGGATGAGCCGCGCGCAGTTGGGCGGCGTGACGACGCTGGACTTCACCAGGATGCCACCCCCGACCCCCGAGCAGGCCGCGGGGCTCGCAGGCTGCTTGCGGCTGTGCGCCCGCCTGCAGAAGCTGGACCTGCAAGGATGCCAGATCGGCGCCGAGGGCGCGCGGGCCCTGGCGGGGGCGCTGCCCTCCCTGCCCGGCCTGCAGGAGCTGCGCCTGGGCGGCAACAGAGGTCCCGCACGAGATTCGATCCGGGTCGGTTTGATTCGGCGAATCGCATCGCCGCGAATGCCGATTCGATGCTGGAGGCCCCCTGCCACGATCCGGTTCGCGATTCGATTCGGTTGCCGAGCGATTCGATTGCGATCCGGTGCAAAGCGGGCGACGATCCGGTTCGCGATTCGATTTGGATCCGGCTGACCCGACGCCCGCTTGCTGCGCGAGAGGCCGCCAGGCTAAAGAAAAGGAGGTGGAAGGGGAGGAGGTGGACAGCGAGCTGTCCGGACCGGGGGGTCCGGGGCCGGACCGGGGGCCCTCGTCGCCGCCGGGGCCGTCGTCGTCGTCGTCGTCGTCGTCGTCGTCGTCGTCGTCGTCGTCGTCGTCGTCGTCGCTGGCCGTTGCGGGCCTCGGGGGCCCCGGAGGGGGGCCCAGCTCAGCGTTCTGACGAGGATTTCGTGGCGGATCCAGCCTTTGCGACGAGCGGCGCGCGAAACGCCGCCGCCGCCGTCGTCGCCGCTGCTGTCGAGGGAGGAGGACCGAGGTTCCAGGTTCGAGGTTCGGCCTCCGGCTTTTCGGCTGTTTTGGGCTTTCGGGGCGTCCGGTGCCCCCGCGCCGTGGCCACGGCCGGATCCGCCCCCCTCTCCTCCAAGGGCGCCGCCGACGACGACGACGACGACGACGACGACGACGACGACGACGACGAGGGGGAGGAGGGCCCCCGTGGGCCCGGGAGGGTCCCCGAGGGTGGGGCCCGGGAGGGTGGCCCGGGAGGGTGGCCCGGGAGGGTGGCCCGGGAGGGTGGGCCGGGAGGGTGGCCCGGGAGAGTGGCCCGGGAGGGTGGGCCTGGGAGAGTGGGCCCGGGAGAGTGGGCCCGGGAGGGTGGCCCAGGAGGGTGGCCCGGGAGGGCGGCCCGGGAGGGTGGCCCGGGAGGGTGGCCCGGGAGAAACCCGAGGGTGGGGCCCGGGAGGGTGGCCCAGGAGGGTGGCCCGGGAGGGTGGCCTGGGAGGGTGGGGCCGGGAGGGTCGGCCGGAGGGTGGCCCGGGAGGGTGGCCTGGGAGGGAGGGTCCCCGAGGGTAGGGCCCGGGAGGGTGGCCCGGGAGGGTGGCCCGGGAGGGTGGCCCGGGAAGGTGGGCCCGGGAGGGTGGCCCGGGAGGGTGGCTCGGGAGGGTGGCCCGGGAGGGGAGGGTGGCCCGGGAGGGTGGCCCGGGAGAGTGGCCCGGGAGGGTGGCCCGGGAGGGTGCTCGGATGCATTCTGGCTTAGCTAAGGGTTATAAGACTTAATATGGTTTAAGTTGGTTTAGTTAAGCTTTAAGATGGTTTAAGTTGGTTTAACTTGATTTAGCTAATGCTTAACATGACTCAGCTTTGGGGTAAGGAAGTTAACGACAGCTAGGGTGCTATGTAGGTATATGTAAAGCTACGTAAGTCATGGTAAACCGTGCTAAAGTATGTTAAACTATGTTAAGGAAAGCTAACGAAAGCTAACTCAAATTAAGTGGTTAGCCAAAGTATGTTAAAGTAAGTTAAAGCAACTTAAAGTACGTTAGCGTATGTTGAATCATATCAACGCCATCGCGACGATGGAGGGAGGACGGGGCGAGGAGGAGGGGACGGGATGCGCATAAGGAGGAGGAGGGGCCGCCGCTGCAGCTGCAGCCCCTCGCAGCATGGAGCTGCAGCTCGAGTTGTTGGGCGCGGCTGCAGCCGCCGCGCGCATGCGGACTCATTTTTTTCACCCGCTAGCTATAGCGAGGCGGGTTGAGCGCAGTCGCGCGGCCTCCACTGAGGGACCACGCGGGCGACGCCCGCATGACCTCGTCGAGCGCCACCCACTGCAGCGTGGCGCCAGCAGTCGTCCAGACGCTCGCGCCGTGGCTGCTGCCAGCGCCGCGGCGCGCCCACCGCTCCACCAGCGCCGCGTGGAACGGCCGCGGCATCTGCGGGGGGCACGCGATGGCGACCAGCTGCCGCACCATGCCCATCACGTAGCCGCCCCCCGCGTCCCACAGCACCGCGGCGTCGCCCGCGGACACGCGGTCGCGTTCGTTCAGGCGACCGTGCCGCGTCCTTAGCGAACTCGTCGTCCGCGATGCCGTGCATCCGCTCGGGCGTGACGCCCCGCAAGACGCTGCGGTCCCACCTGTCGCAGACCGAAGCGGCACTGCTGAACAGGTGGTTGGCGAATTTCTTCACCGTCTTGTGCTTCCGCCCCAGGGGCCAGCACGTGGGCAGCGGCCCGAACTCCACGATCAGCGCGGGCACGCGCATGAGGTCCGCGCCCGCGCCCGCGCGCCGTGCGAGCGCGCGGGCGGGGGGGCGGCTGCAGCCGCGACGCCATCATCATCATCATCAGCATCATCATCATCACCATAATCGTCGCCGTCATCATCAATCGCAATCGTCATCGTCGCCGTCGCCATCATCATCGCCGTCGTCATCATCCCCATCATCATCATCATCATCATCATCATCATACTCATCGTCGTCCTCATCGCCATCGCCATCATCATCCCCATCATCATCCTCATCCTCCTCATCGCCGAGCTGCAGCTCGGCGGCGCGGGGCGGGGCGGGCGGGACAGCGGGCGAAGCGATTGCATAATGGAACTTCGGCGTCATCGGGCTCTCGCCGTAGAAGCGCTCGAACTCGCCCTAGCGGCCCCCCGCTGCGCGCTGCAGCGCCGCCGTGTCGACTGGCACGCGGTGGGCCTCGACGACGGCCTCAACGACGTCGGCCAGCTGGCCGAAACACCGCGCGCGCACCGCCAAGTCGGGCGCCCCGCGCGCCGACGACGCTGCGCGGAAGAAGTACTTGAGCCAGGGGGCCAGCGCGAGGCTCTCGGACGCCGTCGCCTTGAAGTTCACGTTCCCCCAATGGCTCTCGGATCGCATCGGCGCAAATGCGCCGGCCGTCCTGCCATCGCAGGGCTTCAGCCTTTTGCGCCCGATGGCGGGCCACTGGAAGGTCTGCGCGGCCTCGTCCAGGACCTTGTGCGTGAGACCGTGGCCTTTCGCCACGCGCATCAGCTGGCCCACGTGGAAGCCGCAGACGCCGCCGGCGAAAATGACGCGCATCACGTCCCACACGCACGCTTCCATGGGGTAGAGCTTGTGCATCGCGCGCCCGTTCCCGAGCAGGCCGCTCGTCGCGGCGAGGGCCCAACCGAGGTCGGTCTCCAAGTCCTCCAGCTTGCCCTTGCTTCTGGGCATCAAGGACAACGCCCGCAGCTGCCTGAAGATGGCCTGCAGGACGGGGACGGTGACGGGGACGAACTTGGTGCTGTCAGCACACGTGTGAGGGACGGCAGTCCCTGTCGGGTCGTTACGGTGGGCCTCGCGGGCGCTTTTTGCGTCGTGCACATTAGTGCGCATGAAGCATGGCTTCAGCCCACCGGACCCTATGCACCCATATATTGCATGGGTGCCGCCCTCGTCGGCCAGCATAGCACCTGGCCGCAGAAACAGGTGCGCCGGCCGCCCAGGGCGGCCGACGGTGACGCCCGCGCGCTCCACGTCGTGCTCCCCGCCGAACAGGCCGACGATGGCGCTGGCCAGCCCCGACGCACCGCCCACTGCTTTCCTGGCCAGCAAGCTCCGCACGATGGCAACCTCCACCCACGCGTCCTACAGGGGGGCGCAAGCCGCGTGGCACTGGATGGGCTGCAGCCCAGAGTTTCAAAGTTTGGATGCTTGGAGTTTGGAGGTTGTGAGGTGGATTGGCTGCAGCCCAGAGAATGGAGTTTGCGTCGCCCGAGTCGCGCCCTCGTTGCTCAGGGTCGCTGGGCCGAGCTCGAGGGTGCCCCAGTACCAGCCCCAGCACTTCCCGTGCAGGGTCTGGGCAAGAGCGTTGCCAGGCATGATCTCGTCCGAATAGAGGACCGTGGTCCACGGGTCCTGCGGCGTGGGCTGACGCTTGTTCCAGGCGCCCTCCACGCGCGCGGCGAAGGAGCTGCAGGAGCTGACCGTGAAGTCAAGCATGGCCTGCGGCGTTTGGACCTCGAGGTCAAAGTGCCCATCGGGGCCATTGCTGGGCACCTTTATATCCCTGTGGATCGGGCCGTAGGCAGTGCGGTGAGCGCACGACTCGCCACGCGCCCCCCGCAGGCGGTTGCGGTTGCCGCTCGGCAGCTCCTCGCGCCCAGCTATCTCCAGGAGCGCGCCTAACGCTGCTTGGCTGCAGAACGGCAGGGAGGCACGCAGCCCGCACAACTCATCATTCGCAGCCTGGCGCCGCAGATCGCGGGCCGCGGGGGCCGCGCCCGCAGGCGCATCAGCGCGCGCGCAACCGCGCCACCATGCCGATGGCGGCGTCGCGGGCGGCGCGCGAGCGCGGCGGGGGGCGCGCCCCCAGCGTGGCTCCCTCAGCACGGCGGCGGGCGCATCGGCATCACTCCCGGTCGCGAATCGTTCCCTCGCCCAATGCTCAATGCCGCGAGCCGCGGCTGCAGCCGCGCTCGTTGCCGCCGCCGCCGCCGACGTCATCGTGCGGTGTTGGCTGCAGCCGCCGGCGGCATCACCATGCGGTGGCGGCCGCAGCGCCCCCGCGCGCTCGCGCGCAGCGACGGCGGCAGCCGCGCCCGGTCACATCGGGTGCTACAGCACAGCGTTCGTGCATCGCTGCCGTCGCCGCCGTCGCCATTGTCAACGCCCGCGCCTTATAAGCGACAGTGTCCGACCGCGGCGGGCACTCACGGCAGCATGAGTAAATCCCCGTCATGGTCCATCACGCGGACCTCCTGCGGGCCGTCGGCAAGCAACTCGCAGGCGAGGCGGGCTTGGCCGCCGTGCCGCTGCAGCGGCGTCTAGCGAGGGCACGCGCAGCGGCAGCTGCCGTGATCTACCCATATGCCGATCCTCCAAGATCGGCTCATCATAGTGGGCGTAGTAGTCGTACTCGATACCCGCGAGCCTGAAGATCCAGGTGCCGTCCAACCACCTGTGCAGGGGCGACGCGCGACATCCCGCCCGCGCTGGTGCATCCTGCCCACCTGCGGGCGACCATGTTTTTGTTGACCACGTTGGCCATCATCCAATAGAACAGGGTCTTCAACTGTGGGCGCGGCTGACATTTGAATGGCGACGCGGCGGCCCAGCCCCCCGCCCTGCCCAGTCGCTACAGCGCGGGCTGGCGCCACGCTACAGCGCGCGCGCCCTCGTAGTTCCACGCCGCTCGGTTCACCAATAAGCGCCGCCAATGGAGG